AGACGATGAGGGCGCTGCCGACCGCCATGAACGACGACCAGCGCGGGCGGCGAAGACGGCGGAGCCAACGCGCGCCGCGGCATGGCTGGCACGAGCGGCGGGACGGGGGGGGGGGGGGGCAATGATGTCGGGCCTGTCCCTCTACAGGGGGAATATTCGAAAATAGTTTTAAAGAATAATATGGGGACTATTTTTTTACCATTTTTAAGTGTTCTTGAAAGAATTTTGGGCATCTTTAGTTTTTCGTCCAAGAGCGGCCTGTCGGGGGACAGGCCGCAATCCAAAAACCAAGCGTTGAGCAAGTGATCCCATCGCCCTGCCGGTGCGGCGGCGGCCTCCCCCAGGCGTGCGCCCGGGACGGGGCAGGAACGCAGGGCCGGCAGGCAGGGCGAGGAGTGCAGGGCCAAGCGTGCAGGGGCCCCGTGGGCACCTGGGGCCTGAGCAGCCGGCCGGCGAGAGGCTGGCCGAAGCGAGGCCAAGGCAAGGCGGACTCTTCCTCCTCCTCCTGCTCCTGCTCCTGCTCCTGCACCTGCTCCTGCCCCTGATCCTCCTCTTCCTGTCCTCCTCGTCCTCGTCCCCGTCCTCGTCCTCTCTGCCGCGTCGTATCGTCGGGGTGGGGGGGGGGGTTTTTTTTTTCCACACGTCGTCGTCGCTCGTCGTCGTCGTCGTTCGTCGTCCTCCTCCTCCTCCTCCTCCTCCTCCTCCTCCTCCTCCTCCTCCTCCTCCTCCTCCTCCTCCTCCTCCTCCTCCTCCTCCCCCTCCCCCTCCTCCGGGCACCTCGCCCCTGCTGGGGTTCGCCTGCACGTGGGCAAGAGCGACCCCTGGCGCGCGGCCTTGTAAGGGGCCGCCGCGGGGAGGCCAGGGCCACGCGCGCGAGCCACTGCCGGGGGGGCCACGTGGGCCCGCACCAGAGGCCACTCTGGCGAGAGGTCGCTCGTACGCTTGGCCCACAGTGAGTCGAGGTCGTGGCCTTCAGCTGTACCGGCGGTGGACAAACCTCCCTCTAGTGAACCTCCCCTTCGTGAATACGGCCTGGGGCCGAAACCGACGGACCTGGGCCCGCAAAAATGACGGCCGCGACGCCCTCTCGCGAACCGAAGACGGCCAATTCCTCAATCGACGTGTCAGGGCAGGAGGTCGATCCACCTCCGACTGCACATAGAGGCAACAGGTTCCGAGAGGTCCCGACGGTTACCAAAAACACACGCCCTTTTAACATGACCCACGGCCCTCAAGATCGTACGTCTCGCGGCGATATGTGGAGGTCCCCCCCGGGCCGCATGCTGAGCTCGTGCGCCAGGCCAGGCTGTCGGCGTGCGCCAGGTCGCCGGGGACGGGGCGTCGGCCCTGGAGGGCAGGGGACAGCTTCCGGAAAGAGGGCTCAGACCCCATCGTGGAAGCCCTTTCCCCCGTCGCGCTCTGCCCCGAGATCCGGCGGCTGCGAGGGCACCACGCAAACGCCGCGAAAGATCAGGGCCTGAGCCCTGGACCCCATCTCTCTCTCTCTCTGGCAGTTCCCGAGCGCTGGAGCGATCTGTGATGGTCCCAGGGCCCGCAGCCGAGCGACAACGCCTGGAGTGTGCAAACGCCGCAGCGCCCCGACCTCCCAGGGCTCCCAACGTCGCGCTTCGCGCCGGGCGAAGCGCGGAGTGCGAACGACTTCGCGCTCTCGCGCCGCCCCCCCCCAACGGGAGAAAAGGAAGACAAGGAGGAGGGGGAGAGGGAACGAGGACCGCGAAGCGCGAAAAACTTCGCGCCCTCGTGGGAGCCCTTGGATCTCGGGGTGGAGGCCCTCCTCCTCCGAGGACGGCAGGCTCGGCGCCCCAGGAGCGGCGAGGCCGCTGATGCTCCGGGGCGCCCGGGTGCGCTCGCCAGCTCTTTTCTTTCTCTCCCGCGGCAGCCAGCGACTTCGGGCATCCGGGCCGCGGGGCGAGGCCACGAGGCCTGGCCTCCTCCTTCTCCTCCTCCTCCTCCTCCTCCTCCTCCTCCTCCTCTCCTATTCCTCTTCCTACCCCTCCTCCTCCTCTCCTGCTCCCCTCCTCCTCCCCTCCTCTCTCCAACTTCGTCCCTCTCCTCCTATCCTCATCTTCTCCTCCCACTCGTCCTCGTTCCTCGTCCTCGTCCATCTCCTCCTCCTCCTCCTCCTCCTCCTCCTCCTCCTCCTCCTCCTCCTCCTCCTCCTCCTCCTCCTACCTCGGAACGCGTGAGGGCGCCAACCTGGTCCACTGCAGGCCCCTCGATGCGGCTCGGGCGGATCCAGTGCGGCCGCGGCGAGCTGGGCCTGAAGGCCACGAGCCGGCTCCCTCCCCGGCCATGCATGGCTCCTGAGGAGCGGCCCGGAAACCAGACTGCCCGCTCGGAGCCCAGAGAGTGGTCCTCATTCCAGCGTCTTGGGAGGCGGGGCGGCCCAAGTACCCCAGAGGGTCGGGAACCTCCACTCCCGGGAGGTCGGACCTGCCTTCTGGAGGCGGGGAGCCTCCCGAGTGCAGACGGGAAGCCTGCAGAACGGAGGTCGGACCTCTTCATTTTGCAGGCTCTTGACCCTCCAGGGCCACCCCCCCCCGCCACGCCGCCCCCGGACCCGATTCCGCTCGAAACCTGCCCCATGGACCCAAGGACCCCTCCCGGGGTTCCTGGCCGGCGTCATGAGCCGCGTCCAGCCGCGGCGACGAGAGAGAGGGTGAGGGAGGGCGGAGATGTGGGGGGGCGGGGCGCCAGGGCGAGGGGCGCGAGCAGAGCGAGACCGCCCTCGCCCGTGCAGCCCCTCCCCGCAGGATCGAGAGCCGCCGTCCCGGATCCACTTCGGAAGAAAAATCATCCTGGCGAAGAACCCACCCCTCTCTAAACACTCGACGACTATCAGAGGACTGTTCAATACATCAGGGCACATCGAGGGATCCGCCGTGCCCCTGAGCCCTTCGCCGAAGAACGCCCGACTGCACTCAACGTTGCCCCTTCACGCGCGCACTCTCGCGACTCAAATCGCAAACGGGGGTGGCACGAAGCGCGCGAGGGGTGCTCCGAAATGGGGCGGGTCACCATGCGGACGCAGCCACGGGGGCATTCGGTGGAGTTCCATTATGAGGCCACGGAACGCAGGCAGGGTGCGCCGAAATGGGGCGGGTCACCATGCGGACGTAGCCACTGGCGCCTTCCGTGGAGCTCCCTATGGAGCCACGAAGCGTGTGAGGGGTGCGCGGAAATGGAGCGGGTCACCATGCGGACGCAGCCACTGAGGCCTTCGGTGGACTCCCTATGGGACCACGAGACCGTGTGAGGAGTGCGCCGAAATTGGGCGGACCACCATGCGGCCGCGGCCACAAGGGCATTCGGTGGAGCTCCCTTTGGAGCCACGAAGCGTGTGAGAGGTGCGTTGAAATGGAGCGGGTCATCATGCCGACGCTGCCACTGAGGCCTTCGGTGGAGCTCCCTATGGGGCCACGAGACGTGTGAGGAGTGCACCGAAATGGGGCGGATCACCACAGTCGCAGCCACGGGGGCATTCGGTGGAGCACCCTATGGAGCCACGAAGCGTGTGAGGGGTGCGCCGAAATGGGGCGGGCCACCATGCGGACGCGGCCACTGGGGTCCTCGGTGGAGCTCCCTATGGAGCAACGAAACATGTGAGGGGTGCGCCGAAATGGAGCGGGTCATCATGCGGACGCTGCCACAGAGGCCTTCGGTGGAGCTCCATATGGAGCCACGAAGCGTGTGAGGGGTGCGTTGAAATGAGGCGGGCCACCATGCGGTCGCAGCCACTGGCGCCTTCGGTGGAGCTCCCTTTGGAGCCACGAAGCGTGTGAGGGGTGCGCCAAAATGGGGCGGATAACCATGCGGACGCAGCCACTGGGGCCGTCGGTGGAGCTCCCTATGGAGCAACGACGCGTGTGAGGTGTGCGCCGAAATTGGGCGGATCACCAGGCGGTCGCAGCCACGGGAGCATTCGGTGGAGCTCCCTATGGAGCAGCGAAGCGTGTGAGGGGTGCGCCGGAAATGGGGCGGATCACCAGGTAGTCGCAGCCACGGGGGTATTCGGTGGAGCTCCCTATCGGGCCACGACACGTGTGAAGGGTGCGCCGAAATGGAGCGGATCATCATGCAGTCGCAGCCACGGGGGCATTCGGTGGAGCTCCCTATGGAACCACGATGCGTGTGAGGGGTGCGCCGACATGGGCTGGGATCTTCGCCAGGATAGCATGGAAGAGGGAAGAGGATGAAGCGGAAGAGGAGAGAAAGAGAGGAGAGGAGAGGAGAGGAAGGAGATGCACGTCGCTGCGACTTCAAAACGAGGACCCAACACACAGAAGAGCTGGGAAAAAACACGGCGCGACCCCAATCAGGGGTCTTCTGTCTTCCGAAGCAGTTCAAGTTAGCGTACGCAACGCAACGTAATGCAAACCGTTGCTTTGAATTGCTTGGAATCGCTGCTTGGCATCACTTGGCGTTGCTTGTGGCGCTGCCTGGCAAAGCCCAATCTGGGGAAAAAGCTCCAGAACGGAGGCAAAAACGGGACGGAGGTCGAACCTCCACCTCGGAGCCGGCTTCACGCAAGAGTGACCCTGGGCAAGAATGAGCTTCGGTGCGCGGGGGGCCGAACCCCAGCGCACAAACCCGCGGCTACCGCACCGCACCCAGCGATCCGTGGACCCCGGTGGGCCCGCTCCAGAGGCCACTCCGGCCAGGGGCCAACCTTAAGTCGGGCCTGGCCCCCTACAGGGGGATTTTCGACGAAAAATAAAGAATACACCGAGATAGTCAAACAATAATCAAAAAAAATCGGGGGACTATTTTTCGAGTATTTTGTGACCTCTTTGGGGTCTTTTGGGTTTTTTTTGTTTTTTTTTTAAAAAAAAAAAAATTCTTCGTCGAACATCCCCCTGCAGGGGGACACGCCCGACATAGGGCCGACCCCCACGCGCCACCGAGCGGAGGCGCTCGATCCTCCATGGGGCCTCCTCCGCGCGCCGTGCCCCGCGCTCGGCGCGCCGCGCGGTGGCGCGTCAGCCCGCGCCGGCGGCGGTGCCGATCACGGCCCCGAGCGCGCCCCCCAGCAGCGCGGGGGTGGCGAGGGACTCGTCCTCGGGAGGGCGGGCGCGCGGCAGGGGGGGCCGGGGCCTTCCGCGCGGTGATCTCTATATGCTTGTCAGGCCGGAGGTTTTTGCTCGTCAGGGTTTAGGGTTTGGGGTTTAGGGTTTCGGGTCTGCAGCGCGGGGGTGGCGAGGGACTCGTCCTCGGGGAGGCGGGCGTGTGAAGCCCCTGCGCATCTTTTAGAAGCGAAGTGGCGCGGCGCGGAGGCGAGAGGGCCAGATCCTGAAGACGGCCCGCCCTCGAGCTGCGAGGCCGTGTTCACCGATGTAGCCTCGGAGTCAGAAGCGGTGAGGAAGTCTCGGGCGAAACGCCCCGCCCGCCCTAAGGACCTTCAGCGCGGTGATCTTCGTGTGCTTGTCGGGCCAGATGTTTTTGCTCGTCGTGGTTGCGGCGTCAGGGCCCTGGCTCCTTGCGCAATTTTTCGCGGCGCCGTTATTCGTCGTCTTCGCGGCGTCTGACTCCGGAGATCCGCCCTACTGTTTGGGCGATCTCGAAAGGGCGGGAAGTTCCACCCTACCCCTTTCAGGCTCCCTTGATGTCGAGCTCCGCCCCACCTTGCCGTCGCTATTTCCGCCAGATCTTGTGGAAACAGCCGCCCTACTTTGGCGGCGCGCACAAGGGGGTAGGGGGATGGGGGAAGGCTTCTTAGGAGGCTGCTTCGTAAAGGCGCTGGCCCTACATCTATAGACAAGGCCCGCGCCTTCCAAGTAGGAGGGGTGCTTCTGAGAAGCCGTTCCCACTCCCCCTACCCCCTTCTGTGCGTGACTGGTATTTTTCCACGGCGGGAACTTCCGCCCTACCGCTTCGCACCGTTTGGGGTGCATCCCCGATACAGATGTAAAGGGAAAAACGACCAGAGCACGGCGGATCCGGAGTCGGGGCAGGCCTCCATCACGTCAAACAAAAATCTAAGCCGGAGATTGTTCCTCATCTTCGGCGTCTGGGGGCCCTCCCCGGGGCCGTCAAGAACCGACGTGTCGGAAACAATCAAGCAACACTCACTCGTAACAGCTGGTTTGAACTCCCCCCTCACCGCGAATGCAATGTTGGCTTCGGATTTTCCGAATTTGAAAATCCGAGCGGTGATGCGTAACCCTGCCAACTGAAATGCGGGGGAGGGAGGAAAGGTTGTATTTTCTTCAATCGTGACTACCTGGGGCCAGAAACCCTGACTCCAAATCCGCTTTACTTTGTGCCAGAAATTCCCCCCAAGCGACGCGAAGCAAAGACAGGAATCTCCGCCATGAGATACGTATGGCGGCTGTTTCCGCAAAAGTATGGCGGACACAGCGACACCAAGGGAGCTTGAAAAGAAGGGCGAAACTACCTGCTCCACTTTCAACATCTCCCAAATCACAACGGATCCTGAGTCAGGGAAGCCAGTCCCCAGGAAGTGGTCCAGAGCTCTGGGGCCCCTGGACTGAGAAAGGCAATACTGCTGATCTCTGGGGGGTCAGGGGGCAAGGGGCTGACGGAAAATGACGCGGCAAGGGGACCAGCAGGGTCAGGGGGCGGGGGGCTCGCCAAAAGTAAACCTGTTTTCACTGAAAGCCAAAACATGCGCTCGCTAAGGAGCAACAATTTCTGCTTTCAGTTAGCATCGAGCTTTGCTTCCAGCAGAGGCCGCTTTCCTTCAGGTGGGCAGCAGGGCTAGAGTCGGCTAGAGGGCAGGGGGTCTGGGAGCCCTCCCTCTCCCCGCGCCCCACTCGGCCTGCATCCGTCCCCTTTATCAGCCCCCGCCCCCGTTACCCCTTATCGGCCACCCCCTCCCCGCTCCCCGCCCCCTCGAGGAGAAGGCCGACGACGGTGGCGGCGGCGACGACAGCGACGACCTCGACGGCCACGCAGACGGCGACGACACCGAACCCTGGGTCTCTCCGACCGGAATGTCGAAGCGGATCCAGCCATAGCTGCGAGGGCGCCCGAGAGGCCCTAACGGGCCGGAAACCTCGCTCCTCGGCCCTCAGTCCTCGGAGTCCTCGGACGACGACGACGATGACGACGACGACGACGACGACGACGACGACGACGACGACGACGACGACGACGACGACGACGACGACGACGACGACGACGACGAGAGGCCGCCAAAGGCCGCCGAAACGAAAGGCCGCCGAAGGCCGCCGAGGGCCGCCGAGGGCCGCCAGAACGCCTCCGAGGCTGAGGGCACCGCGGGCGCGGCCGCGCCGGCGGGGCGCTCGGCGGTGGCGCCCGGCAGCCCCGCGACAGCGCCCTCGCCGGCCAGCGCCGTGGCCTCTCCGGCCGACGGCGCCCGAAAGTTTATGTCCGCCACCGCTCCCCGAGGCACGACTTGGAGTGTCCTCGGGTAAAGGATGAAAAGAGGTAGGCGTGCTGGTGGCCTTGCCTCTGCCGGCGCGCCAGTGGCGCGCAGCCCAAATTAATTAATTAATGAACCCGAAAGTGTCGGGCTGGGTGCGGCAGGCCGCCAGCAGCCCAGCCAGCCGCCGAGGAGGGGAGGAGGGAGGGGGAGTGTCCTCGGGTGCTCTGTTGAGTCCTCCGTCCTCAGGGCCCAGGCCCTGAGTCCCTAGATCTCCCATGGGGTTCCCGGCGTGCCCCCCCGAGTTGGAGTGTCCTCGGGTGCTCTCCTGAGTCCTCCGTCCTCGGGGCCGAGCGTAGTTGAAGGGCCCACGCCCTGAATTCCTAAATCTCCCATGGGGTTCCCGGCGCGCCTCCCCGAGTTGGAGTGTCCTCGGGTGCTCTGCTGAGTCCTCCGTCCTCAGGGCCGAGCGTAGTGGAAGGGCCCGAGGCCCTGCATTCCTAGATCTCCCAGGGGGTCCCGGCGCGCCTCCCCGAGTTGGAGTGTCCTCGGGTGCTCTGCTGAGTCCTCCGTCCTCAGGGCCGAGCGTAGTGGAAGGGCCCAGGCCCTGCATTCCTAGATCTCCCAGGGGTTCCCGGCGTGCCTCCCCGACTTGGAGTGTCCTCGGGTGCTCTGCTGAGTCCTCCGTCCTCAGGGCCGAGCGTAGTTGAAGGGCCGAGGCCCTGCATCCCTAGATCTCCCAGGGGGTCCCGGCGCGCCTCCCCGAGTTGGAGTGTCCTCGGGTGAAGGCTGCAAAGAGGCAGGCGTGCTGGGCCAAACGCCCGTGGCCTTTCCTCTGGCGGCGCGCGTGTTGCGCGTGGCCCCTAGGAAGAAGGCCAAGGTGCCGCTGCGGCTAGGCTGGTCAGCAGCGGCCAGGGTGAAACAATAAAAAAAAACCGTGCCACGCTAGAAGCGAAGCCAGGGCGCGCAGGGCTGAGTCCTCGGGTCCTCTGCTGAGTCCTCCGTCCTCAGGGCCGAGCGTAGTTGAAGGGCCCAGGCCCTGCATTCCTAGATCTCCCAGGGGTTCCCGGCGTGCCTCCCCGACTTGGAGTGTCCTCGGGTGCTCTGTTGAGTCCTCCGTCCTCAGGGCCGAGCGTAGTTGAAGGGCCCAGGCCCTGCATTCCTAGATCTCCCAGGGGTTCCCGGCGTGCCTCCCCGACTTGGAGTGTCCTCGGGTGCTCTGTTGAGTCTTCCGTCCTCAGGGCCGAGCGTAGTTGAAGGGCCCAGGCCCTGCATTCCTAGATCTCCCAGGGGTTCCCGGCGTGCCTCCCAGGCTCCTGAGCATCTGCTCGCGTGACGCCTTCGGGACCACGACCCGGGCGTGGTGGCGCGATGGGCCGAAGGGTACGGTGACTCTCCCTGGCAAGTCTTTCCTGCCGAGTTGATGTGGTCGGAGGGTCGGGCCGCATCTCATATGCATCGCCGATGCTCCAGCGACGTCGAGGTGGAGGAAATCGGGCTGCATATCGCTCCGCATCGCTGATGCATCGGCGATGCGACGCGATCCTCCGACCCCATCTAGTTGGACCCCATTTGAAAGGCCTGGACGCGTATGAATAAGCTGGTCGGTTGTAGCGATGGCTTATACACCGCCACCCTCTTCTGCGACCCAGGAGCAGTTCACTGGGGGTGTATGCGTTATAGACTGCTCCTGTGGCGGACCAGCATCGCCGTCGTCCTGGACATCGACAGTCGGCTGGTCCGTTGTAGCGATGGCTTATACACCGCCACCCTCGCCTGCGGCCCAGGAGCAATTCACTGGTGTGGATGTGTTGTGTGCTGCTCCTGTGGCGGACCGGCGTGGCCGTCGCCCTGGACATCGACGGTGGACCTCCCGGGGCGCCACCGTGTGGCAGAGGCTGGACCTGGGCCGGTGCTGCGGCCAGCGCGCACCCCAAGAGAGGCTCGGGGATCGCTGCCGCCGTCGTGGGTCCTCCTCCTCCTCCTCCTCCTCCTCCTCCTCCTCTCCTCCTCCTCCTCCTGTCCTCCCGTCCTCCTCATCCTCTCCTCCTCTCCTCCTCCTCCCTCCCCTCTCTCCTCCTCCTCGCTCCTCCGCCTCCCTCCACCTCCTCCTCCTCCTCCTCCTCCTCCTCCTCCTCCTCCTCCTCCGTCCTCCGTCCTCCTCCTCCTCCGTCCTCCTCCGTCCTCCTCCTCCTCCTCCTCCTCGTCGTCGTCGTCGTCGTCGTCCGTTTTCCCCGGGCGCGCCCCCTGGGCACCCGCCCCTGGCCCGCGCGCCGAGGGGCGACGGGGGGCTCCCCTCGAGGGCCGACGGGGCCGCAAGAGAAACAAAAAAAAGGCAGGCAGGCAGCGCCCCGCGGCCCCCTCGGCTTCTTTGCCCCCGGAGGGGGAGGAGGGGGAGGGGGGGGGGGAGGGGGGGAGGGGGAGGGAGGGGAGGAGGGGGAGGAGGGGGAGGGGAGGAGGGGGGGAGAGGGGGAGGAGGGGGAGGACCTGCAAAAGGACTCGCTGGGGGGCTTGCGTGTCTCTGGCAGGTCCCTGTCAACCTGCTCACGAGTCTCGTGCAGGCCACAGCGCCCCCTGCGGAGGGCTCGCGCAGCTCGCGGAGCTCCATGCGAGGCCTGGCGCTCAGGAAGTGCACGTCGTTCGGGCACACGTTTCGCGATCGGGGAGGCAGATGCGCCACGAGGAAGAAAGTGTATGGCGCTCAGGTAGAGGCATGGCGTCCAGAAGAAGAGCATGACTTCGGATAAAAGGTGTGGCGCTCGTCATGATCAAGTGAGTCACAAGTTCCTAGTACCGTCCAACCACTGCTAAAAAGGAACGCTAAGTAAGGTTCGAAGAACTTCCTGGCCCCAAGAGCGCCTAGGTGCACGAGGAGGGCCAGAGGAGTCAACATGGAAGGGCCGGCAGAACAGAGAGCCGCCTCCGAACCAAAGTGGCGCTTACCGCGGAGACGTAAGACTCGGGTTCGGAGAACTCGAATTGGCCTGGCGGTGCCGTCAAGGAAATGACGAGACCCAGTCTGAAATTTGACGCGAGCTCCCGCTGCAAACATCCCACGAAAACTGTACCGTTCAAACCCAGGACGGACTCGTCAAAAAGTGGCGGCGAACCCGAGTTCCAGCGAACTCGAGTTTTACGTTTCCTAGACCTTCCTTCAGCGCCGTGAGTGTAACACCCGCGCACGCTCCAGTGTCCCCCCTGAGTATTTGACCGATCCCCATCCCCACTGGCATGGCCTTGGCCACACTGGCTGACTCAACCCCCAGGTGGGGATATATGTCGGCGGTGCCCGGTGCGGAGCGAACCCCCCCAATGGGATCGCTCATCCTGGGGGCTTCGTGCTGGAGACACCGCCGGTGCGGGCCGGTACGGACCCCTGGGATGCACAACAACCCCCAGGACGCACCGCCGGTGCGGACCCCGGTACGGAAACACTCTGGGATGCCCCCAACCTCTAAGCTTATGTCGGGCGTGTCCCCCTACAGGGGGATTTTCGACGAAAAATAAATACGACCCCAAAAATACCCCCCCAAAGGTCAACAAATACGAACTATTGTTTGACTATGTTTGGGGTATTTTTTATTTTTCGTCGAAAATCCCCCTGTAGGGGGACATGCCCGACATAACTCTAAGCCAGGAGCGCGTGGGAGCGCCCAGGGAGCGCGTGCGAGCGTCCAGCGGCGGCGGCGTCGGCGGCGGCGGCGTATAGGCGGCGGCGGCGGCGGCGTAGGCGGCTGCGACGACGGCGACGACGGCATCCATAGGGGAACAAAAGTGACATAAACATTATCCCGGCAAAGCAACCTAACAGCGATCTGGAAGCATTCCCCTTAAGATTCAGATGAGGCCAAAGCAACCTAACAGCGATCTGGAAGCATTCCCCTTAAGATTCAGATGAGAAGCCAGTTGTAGAATTCTGCTGTTCTCGCAGTCGTAGTCGCATTCGCGATGACAGTCGCAGTGGCAACGGCAGTCGCAGTCACAGCCTCAGCCTCAGCCTGCCTCAGCCTCAGCCTCAGCCTGCCTCAGCCTCAGCCTCAGCCTGCTTCAGCCTCAACAACAGTCTGCCTTCAGCCTCGGCCTCAGCCTCAGCCTGCCTCAGCCTCACCCTGCATCAGCCTCAGCCTCAGCCTCAGCCTGCCTCAGCATCAGCCTCAGCCTCAGCCTCAGCCTGCCTCTGCCTCAGCCTCAGCCTGCTTCAGCCTCAGCCTCAGTCTGCCTTCAGCCTCGGCCTCAGCCTCAGCCTGCCTCAGCCTCAGCCTGCATCAGCCTCAGCCTCAGCCTGCCTCAGCCATCAGCCTGCTTCAGCCTCAGCCTCGGCCTCAGCCTCAGCATCAGCCTGCCTCAGCCTCAGCCTCAGCCTGCCTCAGCCTCAGCCTCAGCCTGCTTCAGCCTCAGCCTCAGTCTGCCTTCAGCCTCAGCCTCAGCCTCAGGCTGCCTCAGCCTCAGCCTGCATCAGCCTCAGCCTCAGCCTCAGCCTGCCTCAGCATCAGCCTGCCTCAGCCTCAGCCTCAGCCTGCCTCTGCCTCAGCCTCAGCCTGCTTCAGCCTCAGCCTCAGTCTGCCGTCGGCCTCAGCCTCAGCCTCAGCCTGCCTCAGCCTCAGCCTGCATCAGCCTCAGCCTCAGCCTCAGCCTGCCTCAGCCTCAGCCTGCTTCAGCCTCAGCCTGCTTCAGCCTCAGCCTCAGCCTGCCTCTGCCTCAGCCTGCTTCAGCCTCAGCCTCAGTCTGCCTTCAGCCTCCGCCTCAACCTAAGCCTGCCTCAGCCCCAGCCTGCATCAGCCTCAGCCTCAGCCTCAGCCTGCCTCAGCATCAGCCTGCCTCAGCCTCAGCCTCAGCCTGCCTCAGCCTCAGCCTCAGCCTGCTTCAGCCTCAGCCTCAGTCTGCCTTCAGCCTCGGCCTCATCCTCAGCGTGCCTCAGCCTCAGCCTGCATCAGCCTCAACCTCAGCCTCAGCCTGCCTCAGCCTCAGCCTGCCTCAGCCTCAGCCTCAGCCTGCCTCAGCCTCAGCCTCAGCCTGCTTCAGCCTCCAGACCTCAGCCTCAGCGTCCTCAGCTCCTCCTCAATCCTGCATCCTCTTCCTGCTTCAGCCTCACCTCAGTCTGCTTCAGCCTCGCTGACTCAGACCTGCTCAGCTCATCCTGCCTCTATCCTCAGCCTCAGCCTGCCTCACATTCAAAATGTGGCCCGGGAATGGAGTTCTGGGACTAGCCCGCCTCAGCCTCAGCCTGCCTCAGCCTCAGCCTGCATCAGCCTCAGCCTCACCCTCAGCCTGCCTCAGCATCAGCCTGCCTCAGCCTCAGCCTCAGCCTGCCTCAGCCTCAGCCTCAGCCTGCTTCAGCCTCAGCCTCAGTCTGCCTTCAGCCTCGGCCTCAGCCTCAGCCTGCCTCATCCTCAGCCTGCCTCAGCCTCAGCATCAGCCTGCCTCAGCATTCAAAAAGTGGCCCGGGAATGGAGTTCTGGGAACTCGAAGAACACGAAGTGGCCTACAGTTGGCTCCGGGCATTCAAAATCATGCCCAGGAATGGAGTTCTGGGAACTCGAAGACCACGAAGTGGCCTACAGTTGGCTCCGGGCATTCAAAATCATGCCCAGGAATGGAGTTCTGGGAACTCGAAGACCACGAAGTGGCCTACAGATGGCTCCGGGCATTCAAAATCATGCCCAGGAATGGAGTTCTGGGAACTCGAAGAAGATCCAAGAAGGCAAAAGAAAAACTAAGTGGCCTACATTATGCTCGATACATCCAACCATAGTGCCCGGGAATGGAATTCTGGGAACTCGAAGAACACGAAGTGGCCTACAGTTTGCTCCGGGCATCCAAAATGTGGCCCGGGAATGGAGTTCTGGGAACTCGAAGACCACGAATGGGCCTACAGTTGGCTCCGGGCATCACAAATGTGGCCCGGGAATGGAGTTCTGGGAACTCGAAGACCACGAAGGGTGGCCTACAGTTTGGCTTGGGGCATCCAAGAAGTACGCCGAATGAGTTTACCTGAATCAGCGCGCCAAGAGCGATTTTGGGGCGAGGAGTCCCCGGGCGATATTGGCTTCAGACGCAGCCGCACCCGGGTCCCGCCCACCCCGCCCCTGAGGAAAGTCATGATGCTACTCGATTTGACGACGCTACTAAGAAAACCTATCATCTTCCTGTTGTTAGTGAAATAAAACTCGAGTGTGTCTGCGCGGATTTCCTCCGGATCGGCTCTGTACCCCCCTCCCATAGCGCGCGAGGCGCCAGGGGCGGCGTCCGAGGCGCCGCCAGGGGACTCCAGCGCGGATCCGTGAAATCCGCGCGGACCTCCGAGATTTTATGTTTATGTCATTGCTTCGTTCCCTACAGAACCCCCTGAGGCTTCCCTGGAGCAGTTTTCAGGGTTTCGGATGTCCTCGGTCCCCAAGGGTCTCGGGAGGCCCGCAGGCCTCCCCACAGGGCTCTCCCCTGCTCCTCTGGATTCCTCCCCACTCCATGGCACTCCTCGCCGCTCCTCCAGGAGCCCCCCATCCCACTACCACGGGGGGGGTCCGCCAGCGCGCCCGGTGCGCAAGCCCCCGGGAAGGGGGGGGGGGTCCAGGTCGTCGGCAATACCTGGTGCGCCCGGTACGAAATCCCACGGAAGGCGGGGGGGGGGGGGTAGGAGGATGAGGAGGAGGAGGAGGGCGGCAGGAAGGGCAGGCAGGAGAGAGAGGAGGATGAGGATAGGAGGAGGAGGAGGAGGAGGAGGGAGGAGCAGAAGGAGGGTGAGGAGGAGAGGAGTTAGGAGGAGTAGGATAGTAGGGCAAGGGCGGAGTAGGAGGATATGAATAGGAGGGAGGAATGAGGAGGAGAGGCAGAGGCGGAGAAGCGGAGAGGAGGAGAGGAGGAAGGGATAGGAAGGAGGAGGAAGAGGAGGCATGAGGAGTCGTGCCAACGGTCACCGGCCGACGCATGTGCTTAGCTGTTCCCGTACGGGTTTCGCGGTGACCTATCCCCACCTGGGGGTGGGCTGTGGGGCCGAGATGTCATGGGCCCAGCGCGGACGGGATAGGTTGAGTAATGAAGTTGACCAACCCGTCGGTCGCCGCCGCCCCGCCGCCGCCGCCGCCGCCGCCGCCGTCGTCGTCGCCGTCGTCGCCGTCGTCGTCGTCGTCGTCGTCGTCGTCGTCGTCGTCGTCGTCGTCGTCGTCGTCGTCGTCGTCGTCGTCGTCGTCGCTCGTTGGTCGCCGCCATCGCCGCCGTCGCCGTCGCCGGCCGCCGCCGCCGTGGGCACCCGTCACCGTCGCCGGCCGCCGCCCAGCCTCCGCCGCGATGGCGGCCACCGCCCTCACCAGCTCCGCGAGCCCGCCGCCGCCGCTCGGCGCGCCGCTCGGCGCGCTGGCGCCGGCGCCCGGCGCGCTGGAGGCACCGGCAGGGGCGCTGGGCAGCGCCGGAGGCGCGGCGGAGGCGCCCGCCGGAGGGGGCGCCGCCGTCTGCGGCCTCTCGGCCCGCGCCGGCGCTCGCTCGGACCGCCCGAGGCCGCTGACCCGCTCGCGCCGGCGCTCGCGCGCGTCACGCGCTGGCGCTGGCGTCTCGCGACCAGGCTCGCTCATGCGCGGCCGCTCGTGCCCGTCGCTCGTATCCAGACGCGCTCAGACATGGAAGCGCTGGAAAAAGATTATGCACACACCGACCTGTTTTTCTGCGGTGCCGACCGTGCCACAGTAGAAGAGGGATGAAATCACCCCCGAGTCAAAAAAAACAAAGCCCTGCCTGGCCAACAACGTAAAAAAACAACATTGGGTTCCGGGGACACGCTGGCGCTAACCCGGGTCAGCCAAACGTTGTGAAGGAGGAGGAGGAGGAGGAGGAGGAGGAGGACGAGGAGGAGGAGGAGGAGGAGGAGCACGAGCATGAGCACGAGCATGGCCAGATGGCTAAGTCAACCACACTACCATCGCATAAAAAACAAGCACCCTTGAATTACGCCTTGCGTCTGTAGGCCCTGTCTTCTTCGATCGGGACCTTCGGCCAAGCACCATGGGAAAGACGTTGCAGATATTCGGCCCTGGTGGGAGAGATTCGAGGTACCCAACTCTTTACCAAGGGTTAGAGGCTGCTGCGACCCGTAGCCCCCACATCTTACACAATACCACAACATCATATTTCGAAACATATTTCTATGATGCTGCATCTAATGGCTCGGATGAACAAAGCCCCCATCCATGTGCAGGTCGACGCCTGGGGGCTTCTTGAAAATCACACCGTTGTAGTTGACTGGAGAGAAGCACGCAGTCCTCAGCCGCGCTGTCCTCGTGCCCTTCCGAAACGGACCCTCCGCACCCGATGCATCGACACCCTGTGCTGTCCACACTGTGGGGCGAAGCGAGAAGGGCGAGAGGGGCAGCAGCAAAGGGGAAGGGACGGCGGGGGGGGGATCTTTTTCGCCTCCCTCGCTCCTATCCTAATCCCCGGCAGCCATCTAAACAATAGTGGCCCTGGGAATGCGCGTCCGCAGAAGTCGAACCACCCCTTTCCCGCGTGAGCACCTCGTGGCGGACGGTCTCGGGCACCAGTCAGACTGCCTGCCACCGTCCACTGTAGAGCCCGACCGTCCAGAATGTCCCTCCTCCTCCTCCTCCTCCTCCTCCTCCTCCTCCTCCTCCTCATCCTCCTTCTCCTCCGCATCCGCCTCCTCCTCCTCCTCCTCCTCCTCCTCCTCCTCCTCCTCGGCGGGTATCAGCATCCTCCTCCTCGGTCGGTTGTCAGCACCGTCACAAAAAAAACATATATGACATCGCGAATCCTTTAGTCAGCAGCAGGCCAAGCATCGCCCACAAGTCGGCGTCTTCGTCCCTGGGGACCTATACCGAACTGCTGTAAAATCCTGAAACCACTGGTTCGCAATCGGGCAAACGGTGGCAAACGCCATGGATCCTGTCGTGATCCAGACGGCTAGGGGCTAGGAGCAGAGCGTGCAACTCGCACCGAGCAACGACCTGCCTGGGACCAGAAAGCAAGCCCCGCACAGTCGAGGCCAGCTGCAGAAATGGCTATGGAACGCGCATGAAATAGATGGCAACGCCGACTCTGCGAAACAACCTGCTGATCGTGTCTGGGCCTCCACTTGCATCTCCGAAGTCGAAAAGCGGTTCCCGCTCAGACCCAACCTGCACGCTCCCTTCAACAATCACTTGGCTCTCCAGCTCCGCAATGTCAATCCAGCTCTCGATGTCACAGGGCCCTGGGAAGGCAGCCCAGGGCGCTGGCATGAGGCTTCGGAGCAAAGAGCCCTGGTCCACCTCAGCCTGGGCGAGGGCCTGCGGGATTAAGTCGCTTGACTATTCGTATGCAGTGTGTGTGTATGTGTGCTACGTTGCTGTCGCACGGCCAGGCGCGATGCAACGTGTCTTCAGGGGCCTTGCGACACCGCGTACTGTCAATGGCATCCTCAGACCTGCTCAATTAATCGTTCTTCCTCTGCCTAGGTCAACATCCATCTGCACGTGTCAGCATGACCTCTGCCAGTCGGTGCCCGTGCGCCGGGACTGCGGCCAATTGCTGCAGCAAGAGCTGGTACGAGGCGCAGTCGACCCCCACTGCTCCAAACCAGCTCCGCAGAAGTGCTGACTGGCCCCCTGCCGCAGCGCCTGCTTCGGCGCATGCTTGAAACCAGCGAGGAAGCCCTGATGAGAGTCGCCCGAATACATTTGAACTTCCATACATCACCAGAGGCAGGATGACTGGGAGGGGGATTCCACGCAGCGGCCTGCTGCGGAGACAAGCCCGCCTCCAATAGGCGCAGGATGGTGGCAGTCATCGGCACCGACCTCATCCCACGCTTGCCGAACACCTGCTCGAAGACCTGGCTGCTCTCTCTCTCTCTCTCTCTCTCTCTCTCTCTCTCCACGTGCGCAGCCGCGTTTCAAGCGTCTCGACTGGCAATCTGACAGCTGGGCCACAATCTCCTGCCCTCAACGCGTCTGCAGCGTCGCCCGGCAGCGCCCGCGGGCGGGGGCGGCCAGGGACATCCCAAGCCGCCCGCGCACTTGAGTCATCCTGCCCCCCGAGGCGCCGCACGCCCGGTGGCCGCATGCCCCCGCCGCCTGCGCCCCCTGCATCTCGAGCCTTCCCGTGACGCGGTGCTTCTTCGATCGGGGCGCATACCTCTCACCTTGCCGCGCGTGGCCCCGTGATTCGCCCCGCTCTTGCTGCGACTATCCCTGGCCAGGCGCGCGCCCCCGCCCAAGTCGAGGCCCAGGTCAGCGGCCTGCTTCTTTGGCTGGGCAGTGCACCCCGCGAGCTGAACTCGCGAGCCACTCCCCTTGGCGCCCTGGAGCGACGAGCACGCAGCCGCCGACTCAGAGGCCACTCGCAGCGGTTTGGCCTTGGGCCCCACGTCGTAGAGGGACTGCGCGCCCACGAGGGCCTCGCCGCTGGCCGTGCCCAGGTGAGAGGACACCTCCTGCTGCAGCACCCGAATGAACGCATCCCTGAGGCTCGAGTGGCCTCGGACTGCAGCGCCCCATGCTTCGGGGCATCATGCGCCCCTGAGATTAGCAAGACTTGGCCAAGCCACGCCACGTGGCATTCGTGCGCGTGGAACCGCACTGCCAGCCCCGCCGACGCCTCGCTCGAAGTCCAGCGGGCTCAGCATGTCCGGCTCTAGCCCTGCGAGGCCCCGCATCTTGCCAAGCGCATCTCCGACGTCAGACGTCGAAATATCTGCAAGCGGCCCATCGCCAACAACATTTTGAATTTTACTGAAAATCCGATGGACCTCGTCTTTATCCGGACTGCCGGAGACCACGAGTCGCGCCGGGCTCAAGTCTCATGATCGATGGAATCCCGCGGGTGATCAAGAACTGCTTCGCCCAGGTCCACGTCTAGACCTGGCAGGAATGGCTGGTTCAAAGGCTTGCGCGCACTTCCAATGGCACCGTCCTCGATCATGAAATCCCTGAAACCGTTGAGACCGCCGCGAAAGGCTCTGCGCGGAGCCCCCCACATGACGCGCGTGGAGTTGGCCTCGAAGCTGGCGAGCACCGAGGTAGACAACCGACTGGCCCCGCGCAATACTTTCTCTCAGTCAGCCCACGGGGGGGCCCGACCATCAATGAGCGCCCGGTGCGCGTGCTCTGGTCGACCAGCCAGATGCCGCGCTTGCGCCGCAATGTAGCGTTCCGTCTGCAGGGCGCCAGTGTCCTGCATTTGATGCAAGAACAAGTCCCCCAGCAAAATGTTCAGCTGGGCCCGCCGCCCAAATATCTGATCAGGCAGGGATGATGCTCGGACTTCCTGCGGCACTTTCACGGTCGCCGCTGTGGACCTCGGGTCATCGGCCCTGGAGGGGCCTTCCGGCAGGTCCGCGCCACGATGAGAAGGGGCTGCGCGTTCGACAGCAGACGCCCAGGCGGCGCAGAGGCCAGAAATACTTCATAGCTTGGCTGGCTCGAGCGAAACGGCTGCGGATTGACGCAGGGCAGGGGCAAGAGACTGAAGCGAGGCCGACTCATATATAAACCCAACTTCGCTGCGACACCTGGCCCAGAGGTCGGGCGGGGCGGCG